CACAATTTCCAAACTCCCCCACTCTCTCACATCTCTCTCAATTGTCCAATTAAAATTATCCTCTTTGCCCTAATTTTATCTTCTTAGCTTAGCTTTTATCTTTTCTCTTTACTGTTTTATTGGCTGCTACAACATTCGAGGACATGATCAGTTGGTTAAATTTTAGGTCAATCTTCCTAAGAGCTGTTAAATTTAATATGTAGTTCGTCAAACTTAATGTATGTAATTTAGTTTTACACCGACTGATCTTAACATCTTTCCAAGCCTGCATTTTCATAACCTTTATAAATTCGTATTTCTTCGATGAGAATATAAAGAAATCAAATAATTTTTTAGTTTTTTTCTCAATGATATCTAGAAAAAGACTGAATTAGTTGGTAACGAAATTATTTAGTTATAAATAAAGGATTAAGGATTTAAAATTACATATAGTGTTAGTGTGAAAATTTGTTAAACCGCTGATGTATTTTAACATGTTATAAAATATAATAATGTCTTAATTTCCAGCTTATAATCCTACGTACCTTTTTTGTGACTGGTTATTTGTATAAAGAATTTTTTATGGTAAAAATTCTTTTACACTATCGACATATAAAGTTAAAACTCATAAACAAAACATCACCGAGCGAAAAGATTTTGCGGCGGTTTATGATTTGATGCGATGCAAAAATCAGCAATGAACTCAAAATTCCCAAAGGTAACATTGGTAACATGACAACTAATTAATACATCAATTTATATAGCAACGGCATAATTTTGCCAATTAAAACATGTACATAACGGGAAATGACAGTTCTTCCCATTTGGACAATTTATCAAACACTTGGAAGATATCAATTTGGAGGCAGATCATGACCAAATGCAACTTCCCCAATCTTTCTCGTCTTAGGAACGCATACGCATATATGGAAAACACAAATAGCTTGGTCTTCACATAAATCATCGCAATCCTCGACATAATGACAGTGGTGTATAGCAGCCACCTTAAAGGATGGAGTATTTGCAACTGCATATTGAAAGTTATTGAAACAAAGTCGTTATTTCACATTCTAAATGAGGAATATGGTCAGTAAAGATTCATAACAAATACTAAGTGTTGTTAGAAGCGAACTCAGGATTCAAAAGTGGAGGAAGGTACATGAGCGAACTGTTCGACCAGTACCCCCATCGGACTTTGGATCCTAAAGGTTCCAAGTAAAATATATGATCGTTTTTAACATATACAGACTTATATGTTCAAAAATTTCGCCGAAATTATTAGGGTCCGATAAACCCCTCTTCTCCAAGCATAGGTCCACCTCAGAGTGTTGTAGTTGTAGAACATAATGTTGTCCGACTTAATGAGAAGGACTATAGTTAACTCCAATTTATTTAAGATTAAAGCGTAACTGTTGTTGTTGTTATTAAAATTAAATAACCTTTCTAGTATTCTGAAAGAAAAAAGTACTATAAGTCACAATAAAGTTTGACTCTTGTGCTCTAAAGTACGTCAATTAAAATAGAACGGAGGGAGTATATCTTTATGCATTCAAAGTTTTTTCATATATAAAGAGAAACAAACCTAGGGTGATTAGCAACAAGGCAATCAACAATGGAGACTTCATAAGAGCCTTGGCCATATTTTATCTCTACTACTGCACTTTTTAAAGAAGACTAACTTTTGTATGATTTGAAGCAAAGATCTTATTTAGGCATATTATATAGTGGTAAAGTCAAAGACTACTTCAGATTAATGTAATCTCTTGAAAATGTTATTAAGTAAATTAGCGGTCATATTTCATATTATACCAAATTATCTCACCTTATGGGACCGAACTTGGTCAACAATTTTTTTTTACCCAATTTGACCATTACATATGCCAATAAAGCTAACTAATTAATGACATTAGCTGTCATGCTAATCTAATGAACGATTACTAAATGGGTGTATGGGTTGGAATTCTATGTTTTGTTTGGGTGTTAGTTATTTTATGTGGTCCAAAAATATAAAAAAGTCCATGTAGATGGCTAAGTCAACTTTCTACCGGAAAAAGTAATAAATCCGATTGAATAATCATCAGTCGATTAGGATAATTTATTGACTTTCTTGTTATTACAAATGGAAAAAAAAAAAGTGATTTTACTCCATAATTTCAGATAATTCAGTAACCGCCTAACAAGGATCAATTCCCAAAAGCAACCAGATTCATAAAAGTACAGTTGAATACTGCGTATTAAACTTGTCGACACAATTTTTTTGATATTAACATTAACTGTGGTTATATCGAGCTCTGCGTTACTTACGTACTCCGTCCTTTCCACTTTAAGTGATTTTTTTGATTATTTTCACACATATTAAGAAATTCACCTTTTAACATTAATTAACATATAATTGACCATATTAACCTTAATTTGTTCATTGGAAATACAACAAATACTCTTAGGCTCTTTACTTCAAGGGTAGCTTTGCAAAAAAAAGTTAATTCTTTCTTGATATTTAAAAAAAATCAAATATTATGGACCACAAAAAAAGGTCAAAATTAATTAAAGTGGACCGGATGGAGTATTAGAGTTGCCGATGAATATTTCTTAGCGCTGTGGTCCCTGGAAAATGCTCAATAAACCCCAGTACTACTACTGAAATTGCTAATATACATACATAAACTATGAGGGGTTAACCACAAATAGTGTACACATGACATGATAAATTACTAATAATACAAGCTTACAATCTACATCCTCCTGTGAGGTTATTCAAACAGACGATAAATCAATCTGTTGACAGCGTACCAGCCCGGCCGTTCCTCCATAGCATAGCCATCTCTCACTGCCTCTGTTCATATTCCATCTTACCCGATTGATCGATACATCTTTGGGAGGCAATTCTTCAAGTTTCTCTCTCAATCTTGTTGGTTCTTCTTCATTGCATATAAGAGCACAATCTGATGCTTTCGGTTTCTTGCTCGTGGTTTTTGTTTTTGCTTTGGATGCCTGTTTACTCTTCTGAGCCACTAACTCGTCATCTGATCCTCCTTCAACGTTCGGATCATTGCCATAACATAGAGCTGCATGATGACGCGATGAACATGCTCAGAATGGGTATCATGGAGTTAAAAATTTATAATTGAGGTGGGTAAATGAAAATCAGTTGAGCAGTTCAACATATTACCCAGAGGCTGTTCATCTGATTGCTCCATCGCTCGTTTCTCCTGATTTGGGACTGAATTGACACCATGTGGAAATCTTGAGATGGTATCGCGCCACTGTTTCCCTGAGTAGAACGTTCGAAAGGGAGAATTTGGCACTGGAGTAACGACGCTGATACCTGATTCATCCTCGGAAAATGATCCACAGAGAAAATGTGGGGTGCGATTCCTCACAGCATCATTCTCCATTCTGCTAGTCAGCTGAGTATAATGGTAATATAAATAAGGTCTCTAATTGGACAAGCATACAGTTTACCTCTCAAGAAGTACATATTCTAAGTTTTCTTAACATGCTGATACAGATAGAGATACAGAAGCTCGTCAAACACAACATATGTTCAAAGGCAATCACATCGAGCATTATCATTCAAGAAAAATGCCATTGAATGAACGAGCTACATTGAATACTCAGAGAAACGGGCTGCCATGAGAAACTTGCTACCGCAGCTGTTAAAGTTAGCACATTGTATCGGGAGTTAATTCACAGACAGCGAAGCATTTGGATATTCTACACAAACACGAGTCTAATGTTGGCAGTACACCATGCCTTTTCAGACCGGTCAAGTGCTTTATTGACGGTGCAGACTCTCATACAGAATTGTCTTCTTTAAATGCAAGAGCAGAGAAACTTGAAACAGCAACTTCTAAGATATTAATTGGTGATAAATCGAAGGTTCAAAAGTTGGAAGAGTTAAAGGATTCCACTAGGGTCGGTCAATGAAGATGCCAAAAAGCTGTGCCATCAAAGAATATGAGCGCATTACGGAAAATAATCGAAGTGAGATACAATAAACAGAGAAAGACGTGTTCACTTTGTGAAGATGTTAAAAAAAATCGTGACTAATCAGGTGGTTTATAGAGAGAATTGGACAAGAGTGGTCGAAAGTTGCAGGAGACCAGTTGTTATTCAAGAGATGATGCATAAAATGTCTGCTGTATAGCTTTTCTATCCCTTTTCCAGACATCTACGACCACAGTAACAATGTCGACCAGAGCCTTCCAAATATTCGATATAGAGAAGAATATAGCAGGAAAAACCATAAGAAGAACAGATTTAACAAAAAATCATCTTAACCAGTACACACCTGAAACCGAACAGCTGTACCATCTGCCCCACAATATGCAACCAGGCCTAGAGCTCGCAAAAAATTTAAGAAAAGGGTAATGTATCAGGCTGGATTACAAGAAAATAAGTTAAGAGTTCAATGAAAATGTAACTTTATTTATCAATATAAAATATGTATTTCAGAAAGCACAACACCCTCGGTCTTAGAATTAAGCTGATCCTTCGTCTTCATCCAAGCTGTGCTGCTATGCATAGAGAGTTGAGACTGCACTCCCTTCTTTTCTAACCCCTCCTTGGTCCCCCTTATTGAAAACATAAAGAGCAAGTTGTAGACAGAAAGCTCATGAAACAGAANCCCCAAAAAAAAAAACTCACAGGAATTCAGTGTCATTATGAAAACGCTTGTCTGATCATTCACGAATATCTCGTTTTTACTTTTGACACTACGTAAATCTATGTAAACTGTAAGATCATTGCAGATAGAAAAGATGCAGAGCTTTCAAAAGTTGAAACCTGTTACTCGGGAAGCTTGCACATTCCATATCGCAAGTAGAGACCGAGAGAAACTATGGAATCCCTGCTGTTTAGTCCCAACTAAAAAGTTTCCTGTGACAGGTACATCATATGCAGCCTTCGGCAAGCTAAGGATCTTTAGTGTCCCATCATCACATGATATTATAATACATCTATGAACATTAACAAATGCAATTTGAGAGAAAGACGTCAAAAGCAGATATCTAAATCAAATTTGTTAGACGGGGTATGCTCATACCTTGGCTCTGGCAACCAATCCACACTGCATATATTAACTCCCTGGCCTACATTATACTCCCGCAAAGGATGGAAGGGATCCCTGTAAGATATATAAGGTACGATATTATGTGTGTGTGTCTGTGTGTGTATATGTATAAAGGCAAATGCAACAACTGATATAGGCTTTGCATCCTAAAAGTTGCTTGAAAGTCCCGTAGTAAAATCAATCCAACTGGCAACTCTAGATGTCATATAGCATTGTTGATCATTGTGTTCCAACAACATTTGTCTTATGATACTACTTAGGAAAAGAAGCAAAAAGCATCCTTCACTACTCTCCCAATCTGAGGATAAACAATTTTTAAACAGTCGGCACTCCATATCAATTGCTATCAGCATGTGAGAGGAGAAAAAAATAAAGATTTTTCATTAGAAACTGCAGCAAAGCAATATAAAACAGATCTAATCCCATTACCGAGTACTGCTTGAGCCTGTACGACATATTGTTCACAAAAGTATGATGAGCCCTAGGATTTAACATACAGCATATAATGCCAAAATAAAGCTTAAATGTATATAACATTAATTAAAAGCAAACATAAAATTTTAAAATATGTCTCTTCAAGGAAAATTGATGCACAATAAATCATGGCAAAAAAAAAAACTTGCAAGTCCTTTATTTAGAAAGCATTGATGTTCAAGATACTAAGAAGACTGAGACAACAACAACAACAACCCAGTATAATCCCACTTAGTGGGGTCTGGGGAGGGTAGTGTGTACGCAGACCTTACCCCTACCCTGGGGTAGAGAGGCTGTTTCCAAATAGACCCCCGGCATCCTTCCCTCCAAGAACTTCTCACCTTGCTCTTGGGGAGACTCGAACTCACAACCTCTTGGTTGGAAGTGGAGGTTGCTTACCATCAGAGCAAACCCCTCTTGTCAACTAAGAAGACTGAGAGTGGGGAGAAATACAGCAGAATGTGTATGGATTACTTCGAATCGTTATGAATCTTTTTCTGCTTATTGCTGTTCTTTCAGCAGGCAGAAATAAAAGGGTATAATTACCAAGGGAAAAAATCAAAATGAGACTATCAAAGGACGTAAAGATATAGAAACAGGCTTACCGTAAGTCCCAAAATTTCAGCCCCTTGTGACCAGCTGTGATGATAACAGTTGCACTCCCAGAATCACTGCATACAACATTGTACCAAGTAGGTCAATAAACAAACCAGACAAAATACAAGAGAAGCTTAGACAGTTGCTACAATCCCAATATGTTAATCATACTGTTGAATAAACTGCAATTCTTGAAGCAATAAGAAAACAGTTGGCCGTGAAAGATACACACCACAACAAACCCCGTACGCTGACTCACCCTTCAATTTTCTTATCTCAACTTATGTTAAAACAAATTACATGCCATCATAACTAAGTAGCTACCAACTTCACCAGTTACAGAATATTGCAATTGATGCCTCTTGAAGAAAAATTAAAGACAAGTATAGGTAGATGCACAAGGCACGGTTAATCCAAATGATGCACCCAAAGCAACATGTCCTTTATTTTAGAGAAGGTACCATATAGATTTCTTTTGGAGAAGACATAGAGAAATCATAGCACTGAATACATTTAGCACCACTAACCTTTGAAACGGTGCCCAGGAAAGAGCCCGAATAGGAACTGTATCTGCACTGAAGCAAAGCAAAGGCCTTGTGTCTGCAGGCAAAACGACTGTAACATGAAATCACAATTGTACAAAAAGCATTAACCAAGGAGGTATAGTGATAATATGACTTGAGAAAAGTCTTTTGAGAAGGATTCAAACTTTAAGCATAAAACAGCATTAAAGTCATGTTGCATACATGACCTGAACTAGAAAAAGTAAAAACAAGAATAGGCGAACAAAATAGCCACCTCATTAAGTTGAATCTCATGAAACCAACAAAAAACGCAATGCAGAGGGTAATTAATACCTTTAGATGAATTATTGGCTGAAAACTTCCACAAGGCAACCTATCCAAAAGCACCTATTAGTTTCACAGTGCTATACAAGGAATAAAAGTCCAGTGAACTTGTCCCTAACTCTCGACCTTTTATAAGTGCTCAGAACTCATTTTAATTTGAACAGGATATTGGTTAGAGATGACGAGATTATTATAATTGCAGCAGCATCGCTTCAAGTGTATGAAATAAGTGCAAGACATATCGGACAAACTGACTCTAAATTTGAGATATGAAATAGGTACTGGGGTCCAGACAGAATACACCGTTGCCTCTAGAACTACTTTGAAAAAGCAAAGGTTAACAAAAAAATTAAATTAGAACCAGTACCACTCCATCATGATATCCAGCGAGAATCATATCATGCGGAGGTGAAGCAGACCACTCCACTGTTAAGGGAATGCTACAAGAGAGATGGAAACAACGAGAGGTTAATTTAAGAAAGAATGAAAGATCATATGAAGGAGAAAAAGAAATAAACTTTACAGTAATAAACAAGTTGCATTCTCAGGACAAAATTAAACTTGTAATATGGACAATTCCAAAATTAAGAAGCTATGCCCAATACCCAATACAGGCATTATAAGATGAAATTATGGGAATGGAAGAGTACTAGCAGGTGTGGTTATGCACATATCATACAAGATGACAAAGTTAATAGTGCAGAAAGCTCAACTAATATAGAGAGATGCTGCTCGTCTACTGTGAAGTTGAATACTTATCTAAGTGCCAACTTTGAAGTCTACAACCCATATCCATTCACACTATGGTGAATAACGCAAAATCTATTCGAATGGTACTGTACAAAGCATTTTCCTGATCTTAGTTCACCACGTGACACATAATCCCAGCTTCGTCAAGACAGGGATCATTAACTAGTCTACAACTCATAAAGAATGGAATGCAAATGCAGAAAGTAAAACTTATTAAGAAATCATATTGTCAAATCATAGTAAATATGTCACAGCAAATTCATTTTTAATCATCAAACAGAATAGAAAGAACAATTGAACTACTACCTCTGCCGATCACCACACTTCAGCATTGAACATCTGAATACAGGTTGCAATTTCAAGAAACGAGGGTCAGTGCCCTTCTTTTGAACAGAAGGATAAAAAACTTTAATTATATGAGGAAAAGGAACCTCCCACCTGCATTAGATAATGAGGGTTATGAAGATTGCAGAATCGCACAACATTGAAGACCAGGGTACTTATGGTGGGAGAAAGATGCAATGCAAGAAGCTGTACGAAACTAAAAGAAGTAATAACGAGAAAGAACAAGGTGTGGGAACAATCATGACTGACTACACAAGGTATGAAAATAATCATGACTGACTATACAAGTTATGAAGACAATCATTACTGATTATACTTCCATGTATACAACAACCCAGTATAATCCCACATGTGGGGTTTGGGAAGGGTAGTGTGTATGCAGACCTTACCTCTATCCTAGGTGGTAGAGAGGCTATTTCCAAAAGACCCTCGGCACAAGGAGATGAAAAAGTGGCAATGGAACAGTAACAACAACATACGTCAATAAGACATATACTTCCATGTATGATTAATAAATTGGTCCACTTAATGGTGAAAGCGGAGGTGTAACTGCATCGAAGTGATTTCTCAAGCTAATAATTCTTAGGCCTTGAACATTTGAGAAACTACTCCAAGCTGATCCTCCTTGGCACTATTCAACATCCATGTGTCTTAGTTGATTAATCAATTGAAACTGCAATAGAATAAGTCAAGCCCACACCAATTCTAGCCCATAGACTCTGCAGCTAGGAACTCTAGTCCGAATTTTATGGCCCACTGTAGTATCATTTTCTTTAAAGGTAAAGTACTTATATTAAAAGAATAGTACCAAGAAGTATGACCTACTGTAGTATTTAAATTGAAATTCATAATCATGTTTCATAAACATATTTCTCTTTAGTAATATTAACTTTGTCAATTGAAATTGCAACTTTCCAAAGCTATCAAGTCTATTCTGTGACTTTCACAGTCAATGGGTTTGGATTGCATCAAGTGGATTCATTCTATTCTAAATCACACCAGGAATGCAGAGCAAAATAAAGATTATCTATGAAAGTTTAACACAAGTGCAAAATGTTTAAAGGGAGAACTTACACTTCTAAAGCTCCATTTCCCAATATCACAGCAAGATAACCCATTCTATGTGTGGAGACATCCCAGTGATTTAAAGGCCTCCATTTAACATCCCTTGCTACTTTTCCATTGTGAGCTAAACATAATACCAGTCTAGGTAGAGAAACATCTGTTGGTATTTGTTGAATTACATGAGAACCATTCTCATCAAACTGTGATGAAACAATGCCATGGCTATCAGGTGTTTGGGACATGTTGAGAGATTCTTTATCCACATCTTGTGTTAGCAAATCCGAGGAAGAATCATGGGTTTGGTTTTCCGTCCTTTCTTTTTCTTTCTTTCTTTTCTTTGCGGTGGCACCACTCTTATTAGACCCAGCTGAAACAAGACCACTGCTAGCATATGTCTGGGAACTCACAACTGGAGACTCTTCAGCAATATATTGTGTTAGCGGAATCACACCAGAATTCTCGGTTTGACCTTTTGATCTTGCCTTGTTTCTCATGCCTCTCCTATTTGAAGCAGTAAGCTGAGAATCTAGAGATGCCACAACAATGGATCTTTCTTGATTTTGCCCCAAATCTTCTCGGGCTTTCTTCCTATTTTCACAAGACAAATCTACAGAAAGTTCTGTTGATTGCTGCGGGTACTCTATAGCAAGAGGTTGTAAATTGTGGTCATCACAATCTCTATCACCTAGAGATTCAGTTATAGGCTTCTTTCTCGGTCTTCCTCTTGGTTTTCGAGGTCCAGATGTTTCTCCTTTATCTGCTTCATTTTTTGTCCAATTTCGATTTCTCTTTTTGTTACCCTGAGCTAACAAATCTTCTTTCAAAATTAAATCTTTTTGAATGAGATCTAACAGACACCATATCTGAATTACACCTCTGCCTGTAAGTGGGGCACCAATCTTGCTGTATGATGAATCAGGAGGATAAGAAGCAATTGCGACAAACTACAGAATCAATTGAAAAGGCAAGAAATCAATATGGATCATATCTGAGCAAGCATGTTTGATATAGCTAAAAGAAGAGCAGATAAAGACATGATCTTTCTCGATAAAGCAAATCAAACATGAGACACTCTGTAACAGAGTAAGTATAAAATGGAACCCAAAATAATTACGTTTCACTGATTAAGTTGATTTCATTTCCTTCCCCCTCTCTATGACACTCCATTGGGGAGATAAGACTGCTCCAGATATTATAACTTTTGATGACTAAACCAATGTATTAAATGACACACCGAAAACAGCTGCATTTCCATAAAGCTTTTTAAAACAATTAAAGATAGGAAGAATCAAACAACTCAGCGACAAATGCTACAGTAAGCAAAAAATTGCTGTGCTCCTGTAACTCGAAGATAGGATCTTTCATTTGTTCCCTGCTCTTTATACAAATTTTCTATTACATTGTTACCTTTAACATGTTTCTTGACAAATCAAGATTAGCTTTCATTCTTCCTAGTAACCAATTGCATCTCAAATAAACAATGATGAATGCGGAATGTCTGCTCAGAATAATCAAGTTTCAGTGACAGATTCCATTATACAATTCATACTGGACATAGAAGTCATGTACAAGTAGAAGCAATTAGTATTCTCTCTAGACCAAAAGAGAAGGTACCCGAAAAGGAATTGGAGATGGCACAGACTTATCCATTTGACATCTCAGTTTTTTTTAAGGAAGATAAAGAAGGATAAAAAAGTAGATTTATAAGAGAGGTACCTCACTATTGATAGGAGCATCCTTATTTTCATAAGCTCGGGGACACCAGTCCATTCCCCACACTAGACCTCCAACATACATTACAAAGTCTTTGCTGCAAAAGATACAATGTAGACAACAGTCTAAAGTATTTCGGAAACCAATCTATAATAAATTGATCAATGTATAACCAAAAACACATCGAAGTCTTGTCCAAAAATTTAAGAGATCACCAAGGACACTCTATCACAGAACAATCATGAGAAAATGGAAGCACGCATGCACCGCACACGTACCAAACCAGAACAAATGCCACTAATAAACCATCTGCCATATAAACTTTATAGAATAGCTTGAGCTAATTGCCACACGCTGAACAAAAAAACAGTGAGGAAAAGAATAACACCAGTCCTACCACACACAATGGAAAGAATACTTAATTATACCTGTGAAAAGAGAGGGAAGAAGAGAGAACACTTTTATTGACTCATTAAATATAATCTACAAGAAGAGCTCCTTATGTAGAAGTTTAAGGTTATATGCAATGTAGTCAGAAGTTATATTCTACTCCTAACAAAGTGAGTAAATACTTATCAATGCTGAATATTCTACGGTATCCTAGTTATGAAATATTAATTGAAAGCAAAATATTCTAAAGTATCCTTAGAGAATATTATGATATATCCATATCATCATGCTTGAGCCCACTTTTTTGTCAATTTAGATACATATAATATCATTAATTCGCTTGAATTTCAACATGCTCCCCCAAACTCAATACGGTGAAACAACTTAAATTTGCAAATAACTAGAATGTGAAGTCTAGCAGAGGCAGATCCAAGATTTAAATTAAATCGGTTCAACTTTTTTTTATTGAACTCATTGTACTATTAAAATTATGGGTTCATATCTAATATTTGTTGAGATTTTAATAAATTTTTACATATATAACTATACTCCGTGTCAAAAGTTATGGGTTCAGATGAACCCGTAGCCAAAAAGGCTACCTCCGCCTCCGAAGTCTAGGATATGGAATCAACTTCTATCTCTTTGTCGCTGTCGTGAGACAAAATTAACTGTTATTGGTACCCACGAGAAGGAGGATAAGAAACTTTTTTCTTCAAAACAGTGACTGGAAATTCAGTGTTCAGCATCGGATTCAATAACCAACACCCACATCCTGATAGCATGAAAGAAAAAAGAATCAGATTTTTTGGAACAGTTACTAATAAGTCATTGTTCAATAAATAGACTCAATAACCAACTCTAGTACTATGGAACAATGAGAGAAGAAGACTTCTGAAACAGTGACCGGAAATTTGTCGGTCAACAGAAGGAATTGTTTTGATTGAAAAGCCACAGGAGCAACGGCTGGAATTGCGGATAAAAGAGGTGGTACTGCCGAAAAGACTACTGGAATGAATTTTTTGCCGCCGAATTGTCACCAGAAGAGGCATAGCGCCACCAGCAGTGCTGTCGAAATGGTCACCGGAGAAGGCACGGATTGGTATTAAACATATAAAAGAAAGAAAGCTATAGAGGGTGGATGCATCAGCCTACCTGCCATTAGGTGGAAGCTACGTAAATCTTTACCAAGATGATAACTTTATATTGACTGATGACATAGCAATGTGTACACTAAGAGCTCCATATATTATAAAATCGCCTATGGTGCAGATATTTCCTCTTTTTACTCCCGGCATCGTGGTGATGCACTCAAAATATGGCCATTAGATACTACTCTTGGCAGTATGGTGGAATCGGCATTGCAAGGAAAGTTCGAGATACAAAATCAGCTGATACTTTCAACCATAAAAGCAAGATCATTGACCCCTCATATGAGCTCATTCTGAATGGAGAAACATAAACTCCAGTTAATTCACTAACATAATTTGGTTTCCACTAACTTCAAATCCAGGATTTAAGCTCTATGAGTTCAACCTTTAAGGTTTTAGCATTGAACTCATTGTATTTTTAAAGTTAAGGGTTCATAGCTACTATTTGTTGCATTTTTAGTGAATTTTTTACACATAAAATTTGCTCCGTGTTGAAAGTGCTGGGTTCAGATGAACCCGATGCGGCAATGCTGCATCCACCTCTGACCCTTAACATCTGAATCCTGTAAATCTCAACCTTTTGTAGCTTATTTGACATGCAAACTAGGAGAAAAACAAAAATAGCTCCACAAAAATTCAATGTCAGGTAATATACAACAACAACAACTAAGCCTCAATCTTGAACAAGTTGGGGTCAGCTATATTAATATTATACCAATATTATACAAAAATAAAATAATAACTCAGCCTACCTCGATTCTCGAGGAACTGGCTGCTCATTCACCAACTGCTTCTGCAACAAAATCAACATTTTATTTTTTCTTAATACATAAACTAAACTTATCTCATCAAACTAACACCACCAAAAAATATATATATATATTCAGCTAAATATCTCACAAAATGTACCTTGGGAACTTCCGCTGAAGAAAATTGAGGCAAACTTATTTCGCCAATCACATTAATTCCATTAGAACTCTCATTCTCGCAAGCAAATTTAGCTTCTCTTACTTCGTACTTGAGATCTTTCCATTCTCTGCATGTTACGAGATCAAAAAAATTACGAAAAAGCAACAAAATTTTAACGTGACAAAATTTCAAAAGTAATTTTTTGAAATTACTTTAAGAATGTGATGGAGGAAGCTAATCGATTAATCTCAGCTTGATCGGAATCATCAATTTCAGGTACGCCGGTGAGCTTAGAAATTGTATCAATTGCTTTGAAGTGATTCTCTACTGAATAATCGAACAATGAGACTGAAATTCTCGACGGAGACTCGCCGGAAACTTTCTCAGCGGCCGGAGAAGGCTCGATTCCCATGGATTTCGGATTTTATTTTTTTGTAATTTGTTTTTTGTACGTTAATTGGATAGAATCAGTGGAAAAAGCGCGCGAGAAAGAGAAAACGGCGTAAGGAGTTTGGGATTTTCTCTGCTGGGAATCGAACCCTCGTTTCTAATATAGCGAGGGCTGTGACTTGTGAGAAGTAGGAAGCTGGGAATTTCGTTAACTGACTATGTTGTACTTTTTGCTATTGATTTTGTACAATTTACTACATAGGTTTCAGGCAGTAATGAACTGGCCAAATTATGGGCAAAAATAGCATGGGCTAGCCAGTTTTCGGACTGGTAATTTAAAAAAAATCAGCAATTGCAAAGTTATTAAAAAATAATCACTATTTTGCTGTAACACGGAAGTTCCAGCATAATATACTGGGAATTGGTGCATCTGTGTATGAACTTCCAGCATATTATGTTGGAACTCTAACACGCGTAAAGTTTCAACATAATATACTGGAGATTGGAGCACCTGTGTATGAACTTCCAGCATATTATCATACAGGAGCTCTAGTATATTATGCTGGAATTCCAGTAGAATTCCAGTATATTATACTGGAACTCCAGCATAATATACTGATACTTATGATGGAACTCCAGTGTAATATATTGGAGTTCCAGTATATTATGTTGGAATTTCAGTATATTATGACGGAGTATTTTTCGAATTTTGAACAGTGTATTCGTTCAGATTTATCTTTACATGAAAAGTAGTTAAATTTCGATTACTTTTGAAATTGTGGCTATTTTTCAATACCACTTATAAAACTGGCTATTTTTTAATTTCTCCCCCAAATTATGGCATGTTATTTAAAGTTTAGTCACTTTTTAGAAATTCTGTATAAAAATTGCCACTTTTTTAATACAAATTACAAGTATAATCTGATGTAGACTGTATTTAGTATAGAAATAGCTAAAATAGCCAAGCCCATTTGCATCTATACCTAGTTTTTGGGTCACCTTTTAACTTATATTCGCTTTGAAAAAAAATTACAAGTGTACCCACTTTTCGCGTAACTTCAGACATACGGGCCTGAAGTAGTAAAGGCAATCACGCAAACTTCAGTTCATAGTGCAATGACAAACTTCAGTTCAATAAAACTATAGCATGTTTTGGCTGAAGTTTTTGTTTTGTAATTTCTGAAGCTGAAGTTTGTTTTGTAATTGCTGAAGCATTCTAGGAGCTGAAGTTTGTTTTGTAATTGCTGAACTTCAGCATTCTAGGAGCTGAAGTTATTTTTGTATTTGCTGAACTTCAGCATTCTAGGAGCTGGAGTTTTTGTTTATATTTGCTGAACCTCAGCATGCTTAGGAGCTGAAGTTTTTGTTTATATTTGTTGAACTTCAGCATGCTTAGGAGCTCTTACAAAATTAAATTACAACAACGAAGGAGAAGAAGACAAAAAATCTTAGGATTACTGTCATTAGACTCCCGTATGGATTATGGGTTGACATAATCTTGAAGGAATATAAGAAATGTTATCAGAAGTCTAACATACATAAATTATGAGAATATCTGGCTTAGTTTTAAGATTGAGTCCTATTGTGGGAGGCGTGCAAAATATTGAGACTTCTATTACAGTAGCTCCGTCGAAGAAGAAGAAGAAGAAGAAGAAGAAGAAGAAGAAGAAGAAGAAGAAGAAGAAGAAAACGAAGGAGAAGGAGAAAGAGGCCTAAAGTTGTTTAGAAAGTGGATACAAGTTAAAAAAATTAAAAAATGGGTATAGGTTAAATGTGGGCGACCAAATAAGACGGCCCGTACAATTTTTACTAATTGAAAGATCTAATTGGACCACCATCTTTTGTGAAAATTAGTTAGTGTAGCCACTTTTTGTGTTGGTTAATAGAGTTTAGCCGGTATTTAATTTATAATTAAAAATAGTTATTTTTTAATTCGGAGATAAAATTTATAGAAAAATACCCTACTTAAAATATGATAGAACTACATGAATAACTACTGAACTTTAAACATTTATAAGTTAAAAATCAAGATTTGTTTCTTGAGTTATAAACTCTCTACTAAAATCCCAGTATCGTATGTTGCGAATCATGTTTGAAACTGAGTTTGAACTCTAACATACGATGCTGGAGCTTTGCCTTTAGAAGTTTCGAAATTCTTTTGAACTCCAGTATAGTGTGTTGGACTTGTTCCATGTCTTAGTTGGGGGTATTTTTGTCCGAAACGTTTTTTCGTGTAAAAGTAGTGGCTAAATGCTAATTATTAACAGCTAATACCTTTTTAAATATTGGCTAAAACTCTAATATCAATGGTCAAAAGTGGCTATTTTCTAATTTCTCTAAACCCCGCCTTAACGGCCACGTGAGTCGTAATAACTTCACCTTAGACTTTAAACTGAACCATACTAATCTAACATGTGACATAATTAATAGCAAGATTGAATCTTGCGAAAAATTATTCTCTTTTGAGATTTCTCGTACCTTTTTAATAATTTTTTCTCTATTTCCTCCTTTTTTATTTTGAATATGTGGAGATTTTAATTATCATATGGTTATTTACTCAATCTTTTTCTCTTTGATTTTTAATATGGGACGTCATGAAAAATTTCGGCTTGTCAAATTAAAAACCCCATTTTGAAGAGAGATCAAACAATAGTACACTACGGAATATGCCGGATTTCCAACAATACACTTCAAGATCAAACTAATAGTCTGTTTGGTCAAATTTCGAGGAGGCTGAAAGTACTTATGTACCTAAAGAAAAATGTTTTTTTAGAGAGAAGATTGCTTATTTACCACGACTTGGGTAGTAATACGTATAAACAACTTATGCACAAGCTTCAACCAGAGAAAGATAAGTAATACAATTATAGTCAAACATCTCTATAACGAAATCGTTTGTCCCGATATTTTTTATGGTTATAGAGAACATAAAATATAAGATAATATGAAAAATCGGTTCCAGAAAACCTTAGCCATTATAGTGAAATGTTATAGGAAGGTTGTTATAAAAAAAAAAGAGGTTTAACTGTTTTACGAACCAAACTGAGTCCATGCAGTAAGGACTGCAAATAGAATGATCCAAATGACCAGCTTCTTCTTCTTCATAATATATATAGCCAGAAATTTTGTACAACACAATAAGTGGGGAAAATAAAAGTTACATAAGAAAGTAGAATCACATCGAAGGAAATCAGATATGTCATCCCATAAAAAGCCAATTTGGCCAAAAAGGGGGGAAATATGTGCCTATTGAATGGTACAATTTGCCCACAAAAAAAAAAGGAAAACAAACAAACAAAAAAACTTACATTTATCAACAAGCAAAAACAAGTTTTAATCAAGATAAAGTTTTCTTGAGGCTGCAGGGATTAGTAGTAGAACAATTTTCTCTTACAAACACTGGTAAACCGCCACGAAACGAGGCGGTAAGACCAGGAGAGAATCGAGGAGTGTGGTGTGATGGATGAACTAATTCGACATGAAATCGTCGGAGAAATGAGAGAGCCACACTTTTAATCTCAACAAGAGCCATTTCTTTCCCCAAACAAACCCTAAGTCCAGCTTGAAATACTGGATACTTAAAAGGATTTTCTTGAAAAAAAACACCATCTTTATTAATCCATCTTTCTGGCTTGAATTCCAAAGAATCAGAACCCCATAATTCCTGCATTCTTCCCATAGCGTAAGGATAATAAGTAACCCTAGTTCCTTTCTTGATAAAAGTCCCATCAGGCAAAAAATCATCTTCCAAACAAAACTTTGAATCAAATTGTATTGGAGGGAAAAGTCTCATACTCTCATAAACTGTTGCTTGTAAATAATGAAGCTCTCTCATTTGTTCACAATCTGTGATCTCGTGGTTTTTACCAATAACTTTATCAGCTTCGTCTCTAATTTTTTCAACCACTTGTGGATGTCTCGCGACTAGCCAAAAGAAACTTGTTAATGCAGATGCAACCGTGTCGCGACCAGCTAAAAGAAAGCTAATCACAATATCTCTCAAATAAGTTTCATTGGCTATAGTTCCCATAAATCTTGATAAAAGATCTTTATGATTCGAAAACCCTAATTTTCGCCTTTGTCTAATAACTTCTTGAGCTAGTATATTGATCGTTTTGATGGCTTTTTTCAACTTCTTTTCACTCCCTATATTCAACAATCTTTTAATCTTCCAAATAATTGGAGACATATGCATTGCTCTTTCAGCTGATAATTGTGATGCTAAGTCAAAAGAGAGAGCAAATTCTGAGATTGGTAAAGACAATTCTAAACTCTTTGGATCCAATCCAAAGGAAAATCTACAAATACTATCAAAAGAAAATCTCCTAAAAACATCTTGTAAATCCAAAATCTCATCTTTATTAGCTACACAAGCTAATAATGGGAGAAGCCTTTGTTGAATCTCATTATGTATAACTTCAAATGCATATGATCTTATTGAACTTCGTCCAAGTTCAAGACTAGCCATTTTCCTTTGAAATTTCCATAAATCTCCATCTACATTGAATATACCTCTACCAAGAAAATCACCTAAAATTGTAGAAAACGTTTTCCCTTTTGGGAAATTCTCAAATCTTGTTTTGAGCATATACTCGACGTTTTCAGGATTCGCGGTGATTGTATTGCCAAGAACATGTATATGAATTGTTCTAGTTG